GTGTCTCAGCTAAGCTGCCACAATGGCTATTTTATTAATGCTATTTGCAGTAGATTCTCTTCTACATACGTAACGTATTCAATTAATGTGTTTAATTGTACTTTTCCAGCCAGAGACTGCAAGATGGAGAGAGAAAACTCCTTTCCAGAGCTTAAGGCTTCTGTGTTTGCATCCAGTCCCAGTGAGGGTGCTCAGCCACCAGGGCTGCCCACCTGCTATGTTGCATGCGCCACATTTACGATCCAGTTGATCATGGGAGAGGGAGATTTAATAACTCCTTAAAAACTGCATACCAGAGCCTCTTCAGTGCATTGCATTTTAAAGAAACACAGAGGGGAGCCCATAATAAATGTTACAAGGGGAAATACCTGTGACTGATAAGAAGCTGAGCGGATGACAAATCACAAAAGCCTCCAGAGAACCCCTCAGGAGCAGATAACCTTGAGACGTACCAGTATATAAAGATTAAACAGCAACCTGAGCTCAGCAGAGATTTATAGCGCTTTGCAAGAGTCTTGGTTTCACTGTTTGCTTTTGCAGTAGTTTCTGGACTTTATTGTTAGTTTCTGTCTGTTAATATTCTGCACAGGCCCAAAAATACAGGTGTAGAAAAGTCACCCCAGAAAAAACAAAGAATTTTTTTGAAATATTTTACAAGGAGGTTTTATAGATCAATATCCCCAGCAAATGAGAAAGATAACCAAGAAAGGGCACAGTGCACCTGTGAGCAAGGTTGTGCAAAGATACAAATGAAAACATAAAGGACAAAATGTATTGACATGTTTCAGCTTACTGGCTAAATCTGGTTATTCATTCCTTTATAAGGGGCAGGTTCAGTTACTATGGGCTATATATTTTTGGTAGGACAAGTATGTGAGGCAGTAAATGCCTTTGTGGGTATGCTTCAACAGGAAGGGAATGGCTACTGCTGCTCTTTGGGGCCTCTCACAGAAAATACCCATGGGTATAAAAACCCTGCTCAGTTATAGACTGGGTCAAAACCTTAACTAGAAAGCCTCTGATGGCCCAAGGGAGAGGGAGGGACTCCAAATGGTCAGGTGCCATTAAGAATATCAGGAGACATGTTCTCAGTGTAAGGGTGGCTGACCCCTGGCACAGGTTGCCTAGCAAGGCTGTGGAGTCTTCATTCTTGCAGATTCTCAAAAGTCGTCTGGACACCATCCTGGCAACTGGCCCTAGGTGTCCCTGTCTGAGCAGGGGCTTGTACCACACCACCTCCAGAGGTCACTGCCAACCCCAAACATTCTGTGATTCTGGCATTTTTTGCTTAACTACTGAGTCACTTCAGCTTCAGTCAAATGTCTTTGGCTCTTTGTCTATTTAAAGGGTTTAACTCTGCCTGGTTTGCTAGGATGTGAGGGTTGTTTAGGGACAGGTTTCCACAGCGTGCACAGCGGGCACTGCTGAAGAGACCAACTACATCAGTGGCAGCCTGGACCACAGGGCTGGCTTCACTTTGGAAAGGACAAATACCTGGTGACCACTAACACGCTTCTTTCCACTCCCAACCAAGATCTCATGCCACCAGGCCACAGTGCAGCGAGCAGATGTGGCAGACACAGGGATGAGCTTCCCTGTTAGAGGCTGGGCACGAGGACTTGCACTCTGAATCCATGGGTGAAAGTCTGCACTGCCAGAACTCTGTCTGGGAGGCAGGCAATCCCCTGGGGTTCAAGGATGATGCCCATGTGACTTTTTCCTGCACATAGAGAGGGAACTATGCTTATCTGATCTAGTAACTCAGTGTGCAAAGTTGAAGGTGGTTACCAGCGGCCACTCCTTGTCATGCTCACGGAGAGCTGGACGTGCCCCGTGTGATGTGCTTAACACAACGTGCCAACTTTTCATTCCAAGTAGACTGTTCAATAACAAAGGGGGAAAAAAGGGGGAGGGATTACAGGACAATTGAGCAGTTGTTTGTGCAAGTGGAAGAAATAACTTTTCAGGAACAGAGCATGGGTCAGGGCAGAGGACGGTGTGGGCGTTCACTGAGGAGGTCAGACTAAACAGGCAGTGATGCATTTTATACTTATGTCACTCTTGGGAGAAAAAAATGAAATTAAACACATACAGGACACTGAGGAAGAACAAACAACTTATTGTGTGGAAAGCAGAAGTGCTTTGGAAGGGCCAATGCAACTATCGGATTTTTAAGTTCATCATTGGTTTGAGAGATGGAAGATCTGTTATAGCACAGATTTGGTTGAGAAACATCTCTTCATAAGGCTCAAAGGTCTCCAAATCACTTTGTTTACTCGTTTCTCTGCCTGTAACCATGTAACACTGTGCCTTTTAGCAGATAAATGATCATATTGGTTAAAAGTAAGCCGGTGGGAATTCAGGGGAAGGGGAAAATTAATTTTAAGGAGAAATTTCACCAATAAAGGTGCTGTGCAGCTCCAAGCCTCTGACTTTACATCCAGTTGTCCTAGACTGGCTCAAACATAAAGGAAGCTTTTTTATGGAAGGGCCAGACACAAGGGACAAGCCCACAGGCTTCAGAGTGTCCCTAGGAGCAATTGCAAATACCAGCTCTCTTCAGCCAGGTATGAATTTGCAACTTCCAGTGTGGCACTGCCCTCCTCCAGCAGCCGTTCCTTTGCTTCAGGGGCACACAGTGGACAAAACCTCTCCTGGCTGCACCAGCACCTTACACATGCTGCACATCAACTGCACCAGCCTCCCCACACACAGGGAAAGGAGAGGGGCAGAAGTAAAGAGCTCCCCTTTTAAAGTACTTGGGGAATTCAGATTATATAGTAATGAAAAATATTTTTATATCATCCCAGGACATTTTTGTTTATACTGCTGAGTGCTATTTTATTTGTTCCAGCTTTGCCACAGATGCACAAATTCTGTGAAAGGAGAAAGAATGTCTTCTCTCGATGGTGACTTTTAAAAAATCAGAAAGACAAGTAAAATACATTTCTTAAGCAAACATTCCATTAAAAAAATTCACTATATGTTTATAGAAAACAAAGATTTAATTTTAAAAAGTTAGTATCTAGGTATTCCAGGAGCTTTGAGTCATCCACAGTAATAATTAGGGGTTTGTTCCATACAAAATGCTTTATTTAACCTTCATGCCTCCATTCAGATAATTGTACAAATGCATACATTTAAAGGTTTAAACTCTATTTCAATTCACAGCTCAATTCATAGGAAAGTTGAATACAGAAAAGCAATGCACCAACAAAATATGTCTGAGACACCATTTAAAACGATAACACTTGTTCATTTAAATCTTTGAGAATAGAGTGGAATAATCATCCTCTGACAGAATTTCATTAGGGGACTCCCTTTACATTATCATAGGGCAAAAATCACCTTTTTACAATAAGAGGAAAAAAAGCTCTGAGTATATTTACAATACATACACTATACATAAATACAAGAACAACACTTACATAATATTAATAAACTTATAACATAGGCATTGCCTAAACACTACATAGTATATAAATGCAGAGGAAACTATTGGGAAATTAGATCTTCAGAAGTTTACTTTAAGTTTTGAAGAAAAGTAATTTTTGTATTTAAAAGCTCTTGAAAAGAAGGCAAAAGAAAGTCTAAAAAACTAATATGTTTGCCTGCTAGCACTGGTATTTTTATTCCTTTTAAATGTAGGAGCTCTATTGACACTACTATCTCTATGAGGTTACTGATAATGGCCCTCCCTTTTCCATCTTATCTAGGAAAAAGACTGAGGTGCTGTACACACTAATTCCATTGCTGTGAAGCTTCAGTCCCAAATGAATCGCTTGGTAAACTACGGGATGTTTTTGTATTTTTACACAGGAGGATCAAATGAACGCTCATTGGTACATACAACAGTAATGACCTGATTAGAAGGAACAATTTGGGGCCAAATACAATCCCATCCTTAGGTTTTCATTCAAATAACACCATGGGGGAATTTGCTTCGTTCATAACTAGCTTGGCCAAGAATGATATTTTTCAGTATTGTTTTTTCCTGAACACGGCTGAAAGAACTTTCTGATTTAATGGTATTTTTGACCCCACATGTTGATAGCAGTGTCCAAATCTCTCTTTCCCTTGATGTGTATGAAATGCATGTGCCTGTGTGTGGGTTGAAGGTCTTAAGGCTGATGGTACATGAAACTTAAGTAATTCATTACTATCTCTGTGTATATTCTACAAATGTGCAAATGTAAAATATAACTTGGTAAGGACAGACAGAAGGTCAGGAGAGCATATTGTGTAGGTGTTCAGTGAAGAACTTACATTACCAAGGAAGCCATGTATAGGACAATCAGGAGAGAAATAAACCATGTGGGTTTTTTAACATGGGAATGTGGCAGTGAAAAAGTCTGAAACCAGAAATGACAACAACAGCTCTGAATCGTGAAAAATGTTAGTTCAGCCATGAAGATTTGGCTCAAGCTGTCTTTCCAAAGCTCTTTTATACCTAGAAAGGCAGGGAGAGGGAGAAAAGTGGTATCTGAACCTATTTGTGTATTTCATGGTTGATGCTTATGACAATCCATCAAAGCCATCGCCAGACACCGAATTCATGTTTTTATATGCTGAGGTCACAGCACAGAGCAAGGTTTAGTGAGCCAATGTCTGAACCACCTCTTCTTTTGCTTCTGAGAGCACCTTGGCTCACTGAAACTTCTGACTCTGAATTGGGAAAGATGTTGCAGTTCATTCATATAGACAATAGGATCTCAAGTAATTTTTTGTATTCTTGTTTTTGTAATAGCTAAAATTCACATGCCTAATTTTGTTTCTCTGGGGGACTGAAAAACTCCATATTGAATAATGTAAAGTTACCACAAGGGCAACTATTTCATAATTCAAAGTCAGTGAACACGAGCTGCTATAGAATAATGCTTGCAAAGCAAAAAAACAAAAAACAAAAAAAAAAAAAAAAAACCCCAAAACACCAAAACAAAACAAAACAAACAAAAAAAAACAACCAAAAAAACCCCAAAAAAACAAAAAAACCCCAAACCCAAATAAAACACAAAAGCCCCAAAAAAGTAAAATCAAAACAAAACGGACTAAAAAAAACAAACAAAAAAAAGAAGAACCCTTACTCAGAGTTTGCTTTTTAGAATGAAGGGGAAAAGTCTCATTTTGGGATGGTGAAGTTCTTCCTACTGAAGAACTAACAAATGCAGGGTGGGATCAGCCAAGCCTTCCAACATGGCAGCTTTCTAAGGGTGCCCCCTCCCAGGGTTGTTGCTCCAGAACAAAGAACAGAACACTCCTCTCCAAGAAGGGCTCAGGTACTGGGTAAGAAACTAAATTCCTTTTTCCTTCTGATGACACATTCCCTGGTGCTTTCCTGAAATCCCCAGCATGAGTTGTATTCTTTTATGTGCTTAATATCTGGAGATAAGCTCAGGACAGCAAAATAAGCATAAGCATGTTCTGAGGGGATTATTTCTGCCAGTGGTTAACATCTAAATTTGTTACTGAATGAGCAACCTTGTCACATAATTAACAAATGTGCATGAATATCTAATTGTTACATGTGTGTCCACGTGCACCTTTTTGGGGGGGGCTTGTTTTTGGACCTGCACTTTCATCTGTGTATGAGCCTCAGTGAGACTCCAGCAGTACCCACTGATGGCAGCAGAAGTCTAAACAAAATGCAGGATTTCTCAAATACAAAATTATGCCTGGATAAATGACAGGTACAAATTCAGAGGATGGAAAGCAATCTTCCTTGGCAAAGGCATCAGGACAACCAGTTACATTTTGATTTTCAATAAATTAATTTTTAAAAATAGAAGAAGCATGAGGACTGGCATTACACTGCTATTTTAAGAATCCATTAGCAGTAGTTAATATTTACAAAAAAAAACTGAGAAAAAATAAGAGTGCAAGAGTTACAGCTGGCCATTTTCTGGTAAGATCAATTAGTCTACTGATGCAAATGTTTAGGCCACTCAATATAAAAATCTCCATACTTCATTTTAGGAATATCAACTTCTTTTTTGCTATTCAAATAGTCTCTAGACAGACAGTCCCTAATTTTTCACTCATTTGTCCCCAGAAGAAAGTGAAGTGATACATTTTGTCCACTCATGAAGTCAACCAAGATGATATTAAATACTATGAGCATTACATGATGAAGAGAAAGGAGACATAAGGTGAACTCTTGTATTTCCAGAGTTCAATGCAGAGGATTTTTCAGGAGAATCCCTGTTCTTTCATATTCCCTAAAAAAAAAGCTCCATTGGGCTTATTGCTGGTTTTGGATTACTTCACTAGAGAATACCCTGGATACACGGGCATATCCAACATAAATTGGGAAGAAATCCCCTAAAATACTGCTCTGACAACAACTTCCAATCACACCTACTGAGAATCGGTACAGCTACGAGTCATTTGTAAACTAAGATTTATTTTCTTCTTACAAATATATGACAGATGTTATCTGAGAAAATAACTAAAACCTCTAACACAGTATCTCAACATGTGAACATACAAATGGCACTTTGTGTTTGTTTCTGTGCTGCATTATTGTTCTCCAAGTAAAATTTCATTTTCACCTTACTGTTAACAGAATCCCATTATGTTATTGCTGTGTAAAAGTATAGGAACATCCCATCAGTTCTAATTACAGGCACTTTCAGTTTCTGTTTCACCTCTAAAATAGATTTCAGGCTATCTCACTGAAGTGTATGTGTATTTTAAATGTCAGAACTGTCCTGCTACAATGGATACTCTTGACATGTTACTGCACCTAGAAGACTAAACTCCCCTGGAATCAGCAAAAAGCAGCTGCCTATTTCAGCTCTACAACCTTTAATCAGGATGCACTGCAGTTGGGGAAATACAAGAAGAAATAAAATCATATGAGTGTTTGCCATTCCTGTATCTGCAGTTCATTGTAAAATGCCAGAAGGAAAAAAGAAATCACAAACTGACAAACCTTTCATATGGTTTTCATTTTGTTTAAGTGTTTTTTTCCTTTATTCAGTCAAAGACATTGAGCATTGACTTATTGACACCAAAGGACTCAGTATAACTTTGCTATATCACACACCATCTGCAAAACAGCAAAGAAGTGGCCACACCATTTTGCAGAGAAAACACACTCTGATGAAACAGAACAATTTACTTCTTGAGTCTTGTGTTTCAGCTTTGCAAGGCATTATCCTAAGAGTCTTCCAATGAAAACTGAAGGTAAGGATTGTTTAAAAATGTATTTCATTTCAGCTATTTAACACCCCACGTAAAACTGTGAGTTTGAAAATACTTTTCCATTATCACATGTATTACAGAATATTTTAACTGTTACAAGTATAGTAAAATACTTTCAAGTTACTTTGATTTCTAAAGATGCAGTATCCTTACAGTTACATTTTTATGCCAAAACCTGATTTATTGTGGAGAATTTAAGCCTTTTCAATGTTCCAGTGGGCATTACTTCATAAGCATACATTACATAGCAACTGCTACACTATAGCAAAACTGTGAAAATACAACAATTTCTTTGTGCAATTCTCCAGTCATGTATCACAGGGAAAAGCATAACACAATAACATGAGCTGGTTTCTTAAGGTAGTATTTTCTATAACAGAGTTTACTTAAAATTCTTCCTTTTCTGTTCTTTTTTGGGTTTTTTTCCTATATTTTAATTTTAAATAAACTTGTTTATTACATGCACATGGGTAGAAACACTTGGAAGTTCTGGGGATCATATGCATGAGTGTAAGGATGAGCATGTGGGAGCAGCATGGATTTCCTGAACGATCTTAAGACTTGACTGCTGTGGAAAACACAGTTCCACACAATGACCTTTCCAAACAAATTCAAACTAAAAAGTAAGTGGAATATTGTTAGTCACACCTAGTCTGATTTTGAAGTTTCCACCTTCAATAAAGGGGGAAGAGATTTTTTACATTAAACAGCATTTATTACTAGAATTTAAATTTATAAATGGCAACTAGAATATATTTTCAATGTGGCTAATGGAAAAAGAGGCTTATGATCACTGTTATTCTCATTATTAAAGGGGAGAAAGGCTGTCCAGCTATTTGTCCATGCTCTGCACTGCAAGTTTACCCGAACATCAACATCACTGATGTAATTTTCAACACTGTTAATTTTGTTATATGTTACTCCAGCAAATAATCATATATACAAGTCAGTCTAAATCTATTTAATTAATTATGCAAGCATGACAGAGAATAAGGAATACTGCATCTTCATCCTCAAGTAAAAACTGCTGTTGCAACGAGCCAATTTTACAGTGCTGAATATAAGGGGTGCTCAAAAAAATAATGACACAATTAAAAATTTTAAAAGTTTAGTATCAAAGCTGTTTGCTCATTACATTTTCCTAAAATTCTGGCTCCTGAGGTTTCCTGACAAATCCATTTAGAACTTTTGAAAATACATGAAATCTGACACTTCATGGCCCAATTTCCCTTGCAAGCTGTAACATGCAATGCCATGGCATGGTGGATTGAAATCTCTTGTCTTTCTGAAGGAATGGGACACTGTATGTTTGTGTATCCCAGCTGCCCGATTAAGATGGTCCTAGTGGATCGTGTCAGGATGAGTATTGGTATTTCATATTGGTATCATATTGGTATATATGATGGTATTTCTGCATGCTACACATGATGTAAGCCTTTGCCACAGACATGAAATGTCACAGACCTGTGGTGGGGTACCAGGATTTTTGAGGAAACTACCCCAGAGCAATTGCCCATGGTCTTTGCACGAGAACAAAAACTTGGCAGGTCAGAAACACAGCCAATAAAGACAAAGACACACTGAAGATCTGGGGGACATCAGCTCCACATTCAAACACCCCTATCCTCCTGAGTAACTTCTCCTAAAATACTTTGGAAAGGGACAACACCCAGAAAACAACCCCAGGGAGTAACTGGGACCAAAGCCTGCAGGTGCTGGTATGAATGAGAACCTTATCAAGAACCATACTGTGTATCTGAAATCCAGTGGTGGACTACTGCTGGTTGTGCAATTCATCTACAGGTAACAGCAGCATGAGAAGCCCTTGCACATGTGCTGAAAGGCTGAGGATGTACTTCCTGCCTGGGAAATAACAAAATTTAGCACACGCTCCTTCACCTTTTGGCTTCATTCTCCTACCATTGCCACACTCTGTGCCTGTGTTCCTTGGCATTACTGCTGCTTTAACCCTCTATCACTTTGGGGTTCTTTGAATAAAACCAGACCCTCTTTCTGTTGCAGTGTTTCCAATTCATATCGTAACAGGCAACCAGCTGAAAAGCCAGGGATTCACACAGACCAAAGCCAGGGATTCACACAAACCAACCTTGGCCTTGGGAGATGAGCCTCCCCAGGGTCTGTTATACACATGCTCTTCCACAGGGCATTTCAAAGCTGAACACTAAAATTCAAGGCCTCTCAATTTCCCTTGTAGTTTCTCTGTCTTCACTGACAACAGGGGAAGCCTAAAGAGGAGCACTAATCTCTCCCAACTGCACCCTGCAACTGATGCCTGAGAGTAACATCACATCCTCCTGTATGCTAGCAGAATGCCCAGCAGGAGTTTCTGCTCAAGCAAACTTAACTTTCTATGAGAGAAAAAAACCCCCACCCACAGATCCTGAAAGGAATTCTGTATGCCATTGGTTCTTCAACTGGATTACTAATATTCAAGTAATTAGTTGGTAAAATATTCTTGGGCAAGAAAAGAATTTTATCAAGGAGTACTACCTGACCTGACTTCTTTCCCTAAATGCCAACAATGACAGATGCATTTAAGGGGATGATATTCAAGTACACAAAAACCAGACCTCAGACATAATTCATGAAGCACCTCACATACAACACTTTGACAACCAGTTTTTTAAATCAACAGTAGCAATGCTGCTCATAAAGACACAGCTCTGCTGCCCTGCAATGCCTCATGGTCTATCCAGAAGCCCTGCTCTGTCCCTGATTTGGAGATGGAGTCTGGAATGTCATCAAATTTGGTGGAAGTAGATCACCAACATGGTCAATGGGAATTGACAGAGGCATTTTTCCCACAACAGATGTGAATAATTTGTGTTGAGTTTCTTTGCTGCTGACTGGGCAGTGGAAAGCCTGAGCTTTTTATAAGTTCTTTCAGAGACTTGATAAACTATCCATACTGGGGAATATTAAGGATATTTAAAGACAATCAAACTCTGGATCTTGTGAATGCTTTTACAAAGTATAATCCCAGTCATATTAATCCTCAATTAACTGTAATTGCTTTTGTATCTGTACGGTTACTCTGTGTTGTTTTTTCTTAAAGATTACCTTGATTCCAGAATCGCAACATTACTACATTTACTGCGGGAATCTAATATTAACTGAGATAGTCAAACATTTAAAAACAAACAAGTGGCATCACAAATTTAATCTGGAATTCCTGGAACAAAATATTCATAATTAAATGCATTGCAAAAGACCTTTATGCTTACATCTTTCATTTCTAAGCTATGAAAATCTCAACACTTAGAAAATATTGCCAAGCCTCCCCTTTGTCAAATTTAGCTGAATAGGCAAATCCTTCTGAGGAAAGAAAACAGAAAAACACTGTTCTGTTTGCACGAATAACTGATGACTAAGAATTTCTCTCTTTCCTACATAATTCAATTAATACAAATTGGTTTGCAATTACAGGGCTGTATGGGAATGATCAAGAATTTCCTTTTATTTAATCTGAAAAGGCTTGGGTTGAAAATCGAAGCAGAGGCAGCCACTGGTACCCATACAGAGGTCCATTTAGATCATACTAGACAGCTGGCAAAATCTTGTTATTCCCTAACTCCCAGGGAGAACTCTAATGTCTTGCAGAGCACAACTGCATATTTCTCTGTCCTACTTACAGTTCATCCACTACCTCCTCAACAATCAACTCTTTCCTTTATCTTTCCTGCTTTCCAGACACCAGTATTATGTTAACAGAAATAAAAGTACTTAACTGTGGCGCCTAGCAGGTCAGTGAAACTAGCAAAAAGATGAATTTAAATGCTTAAATCTTACATGCTGTTTCTGCATACCCCCCACTTCTGTTGGTGTGGAGTAAATTATTGTCACAAGAGCCATTTTATTAATTATTGCTTTTTCTCTGCAAGAGATGCAGCCGTTTCTTCTCTGTTTTGTTTTGATGATACATTCAATTCCATCTCAGGAATGGCTATACCACTAACCTTGGTACCAGCAAGTACAAGATCTGACTATTTCCTTGGGTTCAAATAATGGTTGTGGGGAAGAGGATACCTGCATGAAAGAAAACAGCACACTGAGAATAGGGTAGTTGTTTTTAGGTGGGCTCTTTCTATACAAATCAGAAAATGGATCTAAATAATTCTATGGTAAAATAGAGATACTTAATATGGTATTTCAGCACAGACGCTGCTGCCCTTTGCTTATTTTACAGACTTCAACAACGACAACAACAAAAGAAAAGAAGGAAAAAAAACATAAAAGAAAAAAGTTAAATGGCTGGTGTCCTCTGGGGCATAACGACAAGTTGTGGTATGATATTAAAATGCCACCATCATTATTGCAAAAGTCTGATCAAGCAAACCTCCAGCTCCGGCAGCGGGACCTCTGCAGCAGAATCTTCCTGCCTACTCACACGCAGCTTGTCTGTAGCACGGCTCCAGTGCAGTGCTGACACCGGCCAGATGGTATTGAAAACAAGGGGAAAAGATGGCATCTTACAGATCTAGCGGTCTTCTCTCATCATCATCATCATCACTATCATCATCGTCATCATCAGTCCACGGTATCTATACTCCAACCAGCAGCAATTTTTCAGGAACAAAATGTCTGGCAGCTGAGAAAACATACAAGCTATAAACATTTTTTGTCAAAGGATGCAGCATGTAAAATAATGCCCATTCCTGTAGCATCTCGGCTGCTATTTCCCAGGTGATTGTGATGACACTTTCAGGGGGTAGCCATGCTGAGGGGCAGACAGAGTTAACTTCAGATGGCGAGGAGAAGAGTGGCACTTCTTTTCCTGCTTTTTTTGAATTTCTGTTATTATTTTTCATTACAGACATCAGGGAAAGCCCTGCCTGTTAACACTGTAGAGGGGGATTCAGCCCTGCTGAATTCACTGTGGGTAGTTAAGAGACCCAGCTCTTAAACTCGGCTGGAACAGGTAGCATTTCTCAAACCAGCATGTGCCTGCGGCGGTGGAGCGCCAAGTGATCCGAGCGGGAGAAGCTGCGGTCACAGTCTGCACACTTGAATGGCTTCACTCCCGTGTGCTTGCGGTAATGCCTCGTCAGTTCATCGGATCGAGCAAACTTCCAGGTGCAGCCTTCCCAGGTACATTTGTAGGGTTTTTCTCCTGGGAGAAACAAAAGAAAGAGGGGAAGGGGGAAAAACAGGTTGTGACTTTCCCCCTGTTGCCATTAATCCCCACAATACCCTCTGCACGCTTCCCGTGAACACGCACTGCCTAGGGGTTGCTTTAGGCCAAATTACACAATTATGAGGTACTAGATCTGCTGAATATAAGGAAAAGAGCCTTTTATCATTCCTGTGGCATTCACGTGACTGAGAAAATCAACAGGATTAAGGCAACAATATAGATCCTACCTTGCAGGGGTGATGTGAGTATTAACATCAGGCCAGAGGGCTGTGCAATTATTCTCATATTTACCACACAAGTTTGCAACCCTCATCCTGTCAGGCTGCACTTTCTCCCCAGATGACCAGATTACCTGATATTTCTGCAATTTACCATGTGCTGACACAGACTTCCCGTTATTCTACGATGTTTATGAAGGTTTTTGATTATTTGTGTAAACAGCATTCCGAGACATTTCTTAGTAAGCTGGTAAAAATCAACTACAATTTCCCAATGAAACATAAAAATTCAGTCTGCAAAACCTCCTCTTTAGTTACTGCACTTACTTTCAGTAAAAATAATTTTGCATAAGATGTGTACAATTTTTAAATGTACTTAGCCATGGGACTTGCACAACACTCTTTATAAATTTCCATTTATTTTAGTGAGCTCAGACTTGGGCTAATGTAGATTTTTGGAAAATCCCACCATCTTGCTTTACATTTAAGAGTACGAATGATGTTGAATCATGTCAGAGGAGAAGATTAATGCAGCCAAGCTGGATTTTGTGCTTGCATAAAGCACAAACTGTTTAAAATCCCATTTTGGCCATGTTTTTAGTCTATACTTCTTTGTGACTTCTATCACTCAGCTTCAGCATCTATAGAAATGCTCTCGGCAGTTACCTTGATCCCATAGTTCAGCATAAACCAAAAGTGAGGAAAGGAAACTGTGTGAGATCCATATTTATCTTCCTTTTGTGTGTCTAAAATTTTACTTCCCCTTCTGAAACCAGGTAATCACAACCTGGACAACAAAAGGGCATCCCTGCAACAACTGTTTCCTTTGTTAGGCACAATAATTCTTCAGTTATTTATTATCTCACATGAATCATGAGCAGCTTGCAAGGAACTATTTCAATTATATGAACCACTGACGCAACACTTGCCTTTTCGTCGGCAGAACCTCCCTCTTTGTGTCTCTTCAAAAGTCAATAAATGCTTTGCAGAGAGCCCTTGGTTTCAAAAGAAAATTCCCAAGTAGAGTATCATCACAAAGTTCAAACAGCCCTGAAAAATCCAGCTGAAATGGCCTCTGTAAGGAAACTGAGTGCTGTACAGACACCAGCATGTCATGTCAGCGAGGTTGTCAGCAACATTTGAGCTCCTTGGGTTGGTACCTTCTGTGCACCATCTGGGCTGTGCTGCAGTTCTGATGCCAGATGGGGGTGGGAAACAGTTGCTGTGAGGAGAACCCAGCAATCAGGGCTCTGACCACAACCTGTAGTTGCACCAGCAGCAGCTCAGCCTAGATAATTTTGTTCTCTCCAACCAAGCACAGAGCACCAAACAGTGCTCATTGCCATTGGGTGGCCACAGTGCTGGGCACCTCAAATCCAGCAGCTGCTGCGAGCTGGACAGGCAGGCACAAGCTACATGGCAGATGGTGGGATGCACACTCTTGCCAATGACACAATCCTACAAAATGCACTCAAATTTGCCACCAAACTGTCTTACATAGATATTCATGCCACAACAGTTGGTGCAGAGCACTGTACAAATATAGCAGTACCCTCATCCAACTTGGCAGGTTGATTCCAAGGCTCCCATCACACCACATCAACGTTTTCCAAGTGCAGTGCTTGTCCTGCCCATCCCTCAACACACTTCAACTCTTGTTCACCAGATACCACCTCAGTTGGCTTCTTCGGCCACAGACACTTTCAGACAACAAATATTTCTTAGGCTCTGGATTCTTACTTACAAGCATCTGAAATTCCAAACATATTCAGGGATGATGCTGTGGTGTGTTCTTAAGTCTGTTAGTTGCTCCCCCATTTTCTGTATTAAATGGTTCAGGAAGGTCCCAGGACTTCCTGCTGTTACCCTGTCAGTTAGGTTACTATGGAAATGAAACTGCTCCTCCCCTGGTTTCTCTTATAAAGTGAAAGTGTTTCCTCCTTGGGTTCTGTCAATCACCCCTTTTTCTCCTCCCAGGTTTCGAGAATTTTCTTTTCTCTGGGAGTTATGGTTGGCTGTAGCCCCGGAGCCCCTCCTATGATTTATAACAGTTGGTTACTTTGATATATCAGTTATGTTTCGTACCCTCAAATATGTATTTCTATTGGTAGCCGGGTTTCCCTGCCTTCTTCCCCCCTTTTCCCTTAAAACCCTCTCCTGCCCCTTGTTCGGGGCCATTTGCTGGGTGTTTTCCCCTCCTTTGTTGGTTCTTCTGTAATAAACCGACAGTTTACCCCCAGCAAGTGGTCGCCTCCTAATTCGTCTCTCACCGCGCTGCTCCGAGCTATCCCCCCAGCTCAGCCCGAGGCCAAAGCCGCCGAGGGGGGCTGTTTTCTGATGCGCAGGGGCCCTGGCCTTCGCCCCTCTCCAGATAGCCGGATTCCAGGGCCGTTCACGCCCCCGCGCAGGATGGAGACTCAACTACTTCATTGGACAACCAGGGTGAGGAATTTCTTCCTAATATCCAATCTAAACCTACCTTGGTACAACCTTGGTGTAACTGGAGCTCTCTTCCTTTTGTCCCATCACTTATTATCTGGGAGAAAAGACTGACCCACACCTTGCAACAACTTCCTTTCCGGTATTTGTAGAAAGCAAAAAGGTTCCCCTGACGGTCTCTTTCTCCAGACTGAGGAACCTTACTTCTCTCAGCTATTCCTCGTTAGACTTGTGTCCACACCTTTCACCAGCTCCACTGTCCTTCTCTGGACACACTCCAGCAGCTCAATGTCCTTCTTTTAGTGAGAAAGACAAAATTCAACACAGGATTCAAGGTGTGGCCTCACCAGTGTCAAGTGCAGGGGCACAATCACTGTCCTGGCCCTGCTGGCCACACCATTGCTGACACAGGCCAGGCTTGGCCTTACTTGGTGATTTTCTTTTGAAACCAAGGGCTCACTGCAAAGCATTTATTGACTTTTGAAGAGATGCAAGAAGGGAGGTTCTGCCTACAATTGGCGTCCTCAGCAGCTGTTGATCAGCGTCCCCAGATCCTTTTCTGATAGGCAGCTTTCCAGTTCTTTCCCCAGCCTGGGGATGTTGTGACCCAAGGATCCAGCAGGATCCAGCAGGATCCAGCACTCAGTCTTGCTGACTCTCACACAAGTGGCCTCAGCACATTGATCCAGCCTGTCCAGATTCCTCTGCAGAGCTTTCTCACCCTCCAGTATATCAACACTTCCAAATTTGGTGTCATCTGCAAACTTACTAAGGGTGCACTTGATCCCTTTGTCCAGATCACTAATAATAATATTAAAGATATCCATGAAGTCCCTCCCCTTGTTATACAGAATTCTAGATCTTCCCTCCCTCAGCAGAAAACAGAGAACTCAATGCAGAAAGTGATGGTTTGCACAAGAAATACCAGAAAGAGTTTTTTTTTAGTTCATCCATTAAAACAATACCATTTCAGGTAAGAAATCAGTCAGATGACAGAAGGATATGAGTGCAGATCACACAGCTGGAGTTCCCACACGTTGCTTCCAGCATCCCTCCTCAGTGAGTCTTGCCTATCCAGCCCTCATGAAGTTATGTGAAAGAGACAGGACTGACGACATTCCTTGCAAGGTATTTACTCCACTGAAGGAGAATCACTCTTACAAGCTCAACATAAGAGAACCTCTTGTTGTTTTCAATTAAATATATACATTTAGTGTAAGAAAGAAAAAACCAGCCAAAGTAGTGTTACTGTGAAGATATTCACTCACAATCACCTTAAAAAGGCCACTGTAAAGACAACTGTGAAAGATGATTGTTCATTAAGGTTTATCAACATTTTACACAAGTCTAATTTTTAGGGAAAGAACAGTACTACTGCTTTTCTCTTAAAACAGCTACATTATCTGTGCATGCTCAAGTGCTAGAAAAAAAATTCCTTCATATACTAACTCTTAACCTTTTGTTTGGTGTCATCCCAGACATGAAGACTAACCACTGGGTTTGTCAAAACCAGAAAACCCAAGAGTTCAAATGACGGAGAAAGGACCAGCAGGAGCAGAATTGCTACAAGCTGAGAAGTTGGTGTCAGCTATCCCACACCAGCTTTGCCTGATGAGAGCTTGAGCACTTATGGCTGAAATCCTCAGTGTAACCAACAGAGAAGAGCTGGGCCTCAGCAGGGTAACCCACAGAGCAGTGTGTGAGAAGGTGGACAAAATGGTAAGAACTTAATTGCAGTGCATATCTACCTATCTATCTATCTATCTGCACTTCAAGACTGGATTGCAGTGGAGCTGAAATCAAACACTCAACCATTCTGACTCAGACACTTCTGTCTCTGTGCGAACACTTGAGTTTAAGTGTTTAAGAAACTCTTGGGCCTAAAGTATGGGCACATTTTGACTCCTCGTGCACCCAGACACTCAAATTCTCCTTCAGCTTTAAGGAGCAAATGCAGGCTGTGTGAGTTTTGCCTGGGGTGGTGGAAACACAGGAATGAAGGAGTCAAAACAGTAGACAGTTTTGGGAAATTGGAAGCAAGAAGAGCTGCAGAAAGAGACTAAAAACATGTGGCAATTAGGAAAAGGAGAAAAGGAAAACTGGAAGAAGATAAAATCCTGTTAGTTCAACATTCTGAATCTGTGAAGTTTTAAAGAACCTATCAATTTAAAAACAGATGCCTGAAGCTGTGGACATTTGCTGACTCTCTAGTTTTGCATGTGCCTTTGTGAGCTCTATTGTTTTGTCCTGAAACCTGACAAAAATATCCCAAACAAGAGAAATTCTGATACTATTCTGCAGCTTTGTCTTGCAATACAT